AGAAATTGCAAGTTGCTTCTGGTGTGAGAGAATTGGCCGTCTGCAAGGGCACTGCCCAGGGGACACCCAGATAAATTGATGTTTTTATCATCCTTGTGGGAGGCTTCTCTCATGTCCCTGCATGAGGAGCTAGAGCTGATAGAGGGAGCTCATCCGCCTCTCCCTGGATTCGAACCGGCGACCTGTCAGGCTTCAGTCCTGCCGGCACAGGGGTTTAACCCACTGCGCTACCAGGGGCTCCTTGTGTTCATTGTTACTCCCACTCTGCTGATGCAATTGTATTATATTAGCCGGACTGGCGCAATGGGTTAAACCCTTGTGCCGGCTGAACTGCTGACCTGAAGGTTGGTGGTTCAAATCCTGCAAGGCAGGATGAGCTCCTATCCTGACAGACACCCTTGCTTCCCATGCGGAGACGTGAGAGAAGCCTCCCAGCAGGATGGTAGCACATTCGGGCATCCTCTAGGCATCGTCTTTGTAGAAGTCCACTTCTCTCACGCCAGAAGTGACTTACAGTATGTTCTCATTTCGCTTCTGACACGATAAAAAGGTGGACTCAAGGCTTTGATTTTCTTATAAGCAAATATGGTCTTGGCTTATCTTGTGTTTGTTTAATAAACGTCAGGCTTTATACCAGGAGAACCCTGGAACACGGGACCATCCGCCTTGCTTTGTGTGTACCTATTTATTTGCAGTATTTATATTCCGCCCTTCTCACCCCACAAGGGACTCAGGGCGGACTGCAATGTACATATACATGGCAAACATTCAATGCCATAGACACACAACATATATAGACAGACATATATCCCTGCTTAGAGTGAACTCCTTTCCATACTTGAGACGGTTGAATCCCCACCGTTGGCAAAGGGTCCATTCGGATACGCAGCACATCTCCCTCACGGGAGAGAACGGAAGGCAAAGAATGGTGAAGATTCACGTCCATCAGTTGAGATGGACAAGTTGACTAAATTGATGAAGTATAGAACAGCATTTAAAGGAAATAGAGATGAAAGTCATATAGTGAGAGAGAGGCTTATAGACTAGTGTTTGTTGCCCTTTAGTTTTGTTCTTATTGTGCAAGGTGTGTCTCCTTCTTTGCTTTATATTTGTTAAGTAGTACTTGAAAAAATGTACCAAAATTATAATTTGTATAAACATAGTTTGTTTTGTTTTTGTTTTTTTGTCTATGAAAGGCTTATAGACTAGTGTTTGTTGCCCTTTAGTTTTGTTCTTATTGTGCAAGGTGTGTCTCCTTCTTTGCTTTATATTTGTTAAGTAGTACTTGAAAAAATGTACCAAAATTATAATTTGTATAAACATAGTTTGTTTTGTTTTTGTTTTTTTGTCTATGAATAAATATTGTTGTTGTTTTTCCAAAGCACCCCCTTCCTCGCCTCCTGAGCACTCAGAGCCTGGCCAGGCCACGAGAGAAGGTCTCCTGGAAAGGAAGGGAGAGGCCTCTTCTCATCCAGAGGAAACCCAAGTCCTGCCCACGGAGTCTCTGGGTTTTGCATTCACCAAGTTTTCACACTAACAGCCATTGATATTCTGCATTTTGTAGTCGAAGGCTTTCATGGCCGGAATCCCTGGGTCGCTGTGAGTCTTCCGGGCTGCGTGGCCATCTTCCAGAAGCATTCCTGCCCACGCCTACCTACGGCAGGCATCCTCAGACAGGTGAGGCCTGTGGGAAAGCAGGCAAGTGGGGTTGATATATCTGTGGGAAGCCAGGCAGGAAGCAGCCAGAGTTTGGACCTGCAAGGCCATTCAATGCTAATGGAAACATCCACATTTGCCTACAACAGATACGTTCTTCCTCTCTCCCAGCCTGGGCATCCCTCCACAGGGATGTATGTCAGCCCCACTCGCCCAGTTTGCAAGAGGCCTCCCTCCCAACCTCTGAGGATGCCTTTAGCCAGAGAGAGATGGGGAGGAAATGTCAGGAGAGAGTGCTTCTGGAACCTGGCCAGGCAGCCCGGAAACCCATTCTCAGCAACAACCCAGGGATGCATGTTGTGCCTGTGAGAGAGAGAGAGGGAGAGGGAGAGAAAGAGAGAAAGGAGCCTCCCTCCCTGAGGTCCCAAGACACCCTGTCCGGGCCCTGGGCCTCCCCGGCTAGGCCCCCCAGCACGGCCCCCCCTCTCCCTCCCTCCCCAGGCTGGGCCAGGAAGGAGGGAGAGGCCAGGCCCCTTCGGGAGGAACTGCGGTCTAGCTCTGCCTCCCAGCCTCCTTCCTTCCTGCAGCCCGGCGGCTCCTTTAAGGCCAAGCCCCGCCCCTCTTTGGGCACACGCCTCCTCCTCCCGCCATGACAGCGCCGGGCGGAAGTAGGGCTTCTGGGTGACGTCACGGCCAGGCCCTTGGAGACAGAGGGAAGGGCGGAAGCGAGGGGGCGCTTCTTCCGGTGGGGCCTAGCCGAGGGAGAGGCAGCCACGCTTCTTCTCGGGATCAGTGGAAGGTGAGGGAGGAAAGGCCGAGGGAGTGTGGGAGGGGATGGGCAGGAGACTCTTCGGAGGCGGGCCTTCTTCCGGGCGGCCTGGCAGGCTCCTCCTGGGATTCCCTCAGAGAAGAGGGGGAGGGGGAGGGAGGGAGGCCTGAGGCCTGTGCTGGGGACCCCCTGGGCGCAGGACCCCCTCCCTCGAGACCCCCTCTCCCACCCCCACCTGGGCGCGAAGGGGGTCCCGAGGGAGGGATGGGGATGGGGGGGTCCTGGTCCCTCGCCAGTGGGCTCTGGAAGAGGGAGCCGGTCGGGAATAATCCCTCATCGCCCACAAACACACACCTCCATGCAGGCAGGCAGGCAGGCAGGGAGAGATGGGCAGGCAGGCAGGTGGGCGTGTCAAGGACTGCCTGGGAGTTCGGAAGAGCTCCCTTCCTTCCTTCCTTCCTTCCTTCCTTCCTTCCTTCCTTCCTTCCTTCCTTCCTTCCTTCCTTCTCTGGAGATTTTGAGCGGGGGCTGGATGGCCATCTGTGAGGAGGAGGGAGCGGGTGGTGCCTTCCTGCTTGACAGAAGGGGGTGGGATACATAATTATCCATGGCCCCCATCATGTCTCCTCTCCGCCTTCTCTTCTTCAGGCTAAACATGCCCAGCAGCTCTTTCAGCCTCTCCTCATGGGGCTTGTTCCCCAGACCCTGGATCCTTTGAGTCGCCCTCCTCTGGACACTTCCCAGCTTACAGGCAACATCTCCCTTCCATTGTGGTGCTCAGAAGTGGACACAGTGGTGGGATTACAGGTAAAGTGGTCTGACCAAGGCAGAATAGAAGAGAGAGAGAGTGAGACTGAATACGTCCCATCTCGAAGCTTAAGATCTTCTGGGGAGGCCCTGCTCTCGACCCCGCCTTTATCACAAGTGAGACTGGCGGGGACGAGGAGCAGGGCCTTCTCGGTGGTGGCCCCCCGCCTGTGGAACTCACTCCCCGGGGAGATTAGATCGGCGACTTCCCTCCTATCATTTAGGAAAAAAGTGAAGACCTGGATATGGGATCAGGCATTTGGACACTCTGGCAGCTAAAGGAAGGACCTGGAGGATGGACAAGAACTGACTGAATAGAACGGATCTACGGAATCTTGGAACGCTGAACTTGAGATTGTTTTCTGATGGTGCTATGTTTTGATGACATTGATGTTTTTAATCTGTTTTTTAATCGGTTAACTGTTTAAATGTTGTTTTATTTCTTTGTATACTGATAAAGGCATCTAATTGTGCCTCCCTTGTAAGCCGCCTTGAGTCCCCCTCCGGGGGTGAGAAAGGCGGGGAAAAAGTAACGGAAAGAAATAAAATAAATAAATAGAGTTTGTAGTTGAGAGAGGCCCAGGACCCCCCTGGCTGAGAATGAGAAAGGCCCCTCCCTGAACACCTTGCAGGGTAAGAAATCGCACACGGAGAATCTTGGGGCCCCGTCCCCTTTGTACCTGAGGAGGGAGGGATTCCTCGTTGTTGGGCAAGTGTCAAAGTATTTGTCACCTGGCAATGGGCAGCTTCCCTCTTCCTCTTGGTTTGCTACAGCACTAGACTTCCTCTTCGTGTTCCATGAGATCTTTCTCTGTTCAACTCCTGAAGAGATTTTCCTCTCATTTCTCTGGCAGGTAACTTCGGAACAAGTTCTGCGAAGAACGCCTTGTGAGAGCTTGACCTGAGGAGTGCTGTCAGTTCAACTTCAAGATACACAGCAATGACAACAAGAAAAAATAAGTACTAGATAAATATATTTGAGGCTACATACCTGTGCAGTTAAGGGAAGAAATAAGATTTTGCTTTAGAAAGAGAGGCTTGGGAAATCAAGCAGAAGGCTACAGCAATACAAAAACTGCTGTTCAAGAGGTTATATCTGAGAACCCCTGGCATCATATTTGAATTATAAATGTGAAAGAATGGCAAGTACTCTACCTCCTTATCCTCGATCAGACACAGGGGAGAAGTTACATCAGTGTATGGAGTGTGGAAAACAATTTGATAGGAAAAGTTCTCTTACTGTACATGAACGGACCCACACAGGGGAGAAGCCAAAGAAGAGAAGAGAGAAGAAGAGAAGAAGAGAGAAGGAAGAGGAAGAGAAGAAGAAGAAGAGAAGAAGCAGAAGAAGAAGGAGAAGAAAGAAGAAGGAAAGAGGAAGAGAAAGAAGGAGAAAGAAGAAAGAAGGAAGAAGAAGAGAAAGAAAAAGAAGGGAGAGAGGAAGAAGAGAAGAAGAAGGAGATGGAGAAGGAAAGGGGAGGAGAAAGAAAAAGAGAGCGAAAACGACGAAAGGAAGAGGACAGGGAAGAAGTATGAATCATCTACAAATTAAACCTTGATTAGAAAAGAAGAGAGAAGAAGGAGAAAGAAAAGAGAAGGAGAAAGAAAGAAGGAAGGAAGGAAGAGGAAAGAAAGAGAAAGAAAGAAAGGAAGGAAGGAAAGAAGGAAAGAGAAGAAGGAAGGAAGGAGAAAGAAGGAAGGAGAGAAGGAAGGAAAGAGAAAAGGAAGGAGAGAAGGAAGGAAGGAAGGATACAAGAAAGGACATGAACGGACCCACACAGGGGAGAAGCCATATCAGTGCATGGAATGTGGAAAATGCTTCAGTCGGAGTGGCCATCTACGTTCCCATCAAAGGACGCACTCAGGGGAGAAGCCATATAAATGCATGGAATGTGGAGAAAGCTTCAGTCAGAGTGGAAATCTACGTTCCCATCAAAGGATCCACACAGGGGAGAAGCCACATAAATGCATGGAATGTGGAGAAAGCTTCAGTCAGAGTGCCCATCTACGGTCCCATCTAAGGATCCACACAGGGGAGAAGCCACATAAATGCATTGAATGTGGAGAAAGTTTCAGTCAGAGTGGCACTCTACATTCCCATCAAAGGATCCACACAGGGGAGAAGCCACATAAATGCATTGAATGTGGAGAAAGTTTCAGTCATAGTGGCAATCTACGTTCCCATCAAAGGATCCACACAGGGGAGAAGCCATATAAATGTATGGAATGTGGAGAAAGTTTCAGTCTCAGTGGCGCTCTACGTTCCCATCAAAGGATCCACACAGGGGAGAAGCCACATAAATGCGTGGAATGTGGAAAGAGTTTCAGTCAGAGTGGCCATCTACGGTCCCATCTAAGGATCCACACAGGGGAGAAGCCACATAAATGCGTGGAATGTGGAGAAAGTTTCAGTAAGAGTGGCAATCTACGTTCCCATCAAAGGATCCACACAGGGGAGAAGCCACATAAATGCATGGAATGTGGAGAAAGTTTCAGTAAGAGTGGCAATCTACGTTCCCATCAAAGGATCCACACAGGGGAGAAGCCATATAAATGTATGGAATGTGGAGAAAGTTTCAGTCGCAGAGACCATCTACGTTCCCATCAAAGGATCCACACAGGGGAGAAACCACATAAATGCGTGGAATGTGGAAAGAGTTTCAGTCAGAGTGGCCATCTACGGTCCCATCAAAGGAAGCACACAGGGGAGAAGCCATATAAATGTATGGAATGTGGAAAAAGCTTCAGTCACAGTGGCAATCTTCGTTCCCACCAAATGACTCACACAGTACAGAAGCCATAGAAGTGCATAGAATGTGGAGAAAGTTTCAGTCCAAATCTATCTACATTGCTTTTAAAGGAGCCACGTCGTAGAGAAGCCATATAAATGCACGGAATGTGGGAAGAGCTTTAGAGAACATTCAGCATACAATAAACATCACGGAACTCATGTGCCGCTAGAGGAGACCTGCCTTTCAGTTTCTGAGCTCTCTTTCAAAAAATATTGGAATGAAAGAGGAAGGCCGGCACCTGGCTCTCTCTCTTTCTCTCTACCATGAACTAGTTTGTGTGGCCTTTGTTCTGGAACAGCTGTTCCAGGAGCTCCAGATTTATTTGCTGTGTTTAAATGTTTGTGTGCAATCCCATGCTTGGGATTTTGCAGCAGGGGGTTTCCTGTTATAATTTGCATTTATAGGGTAAGCCACCTGCCAATTATAGTTAGGATCCCTGGTCCCGCCCCCTTTTTGCCTTTTGGAGGGAAGGACATTTTTCAGTTAGTCACAGCAAGGGAAGCCAAGGCAGAGGATGCGTACAGACGTTCCTCCTGTGCAAAGGCTTCGTCTTTTAAGACTTCCTGGGGAAGAACAGATTAAAGGCCTCTACAGATTCCCAAAGGGTTCCAGGGAACAGCTTCACAGCCCTGAGAACCTCCGGAGGGAATAACAGCTCTTCATCTTCAGCTAAGTGATTTCAAGCCTGATGGTACGTCTGTTCGGTTCTGAGACGCAGTTCAGCCGGTAGCAGACTCAAACCAGTCAGGTTTAAGTTCACAGCAGCCTGGGAGGAGCTTTAAAGGGGAATTTTTCCTGTTAAACAAAGTTTATTGAAGATAGTGCCTGTTTCCTGTAAACAAGACTGCAAGAGCCAATAGACTATTTAGAATTCTTACAGTTCCTGCTTGTTCATTAATAAAGACTGTTGTATTTAAGCTTAAGTCTCCTAAAGCCTGTTTAATAGGGAAAATTCCTCTAAAGGTTCTTTCTCGGACCCCCGGGCTTCCCGCTGGACACAAGCCTTGCATCTTCTCTTAGAAGCATTTAATTTCAGCTCCAGCGGCGACAGAACAGCCTTGGTCGACGGCAACTGGGAGCAGGTCTCACTCAGAAGGGGATTTTTCTCCGTATTGCAGCAAGCTCCGAAGGGGTTCCCCTAGCCTCCTCCATAAGAAACCCATCCCAGGCTTCTAGGGTGATCTGTCGAGGTTTGCTGAAAGGAGCAGCAGCTGAGATCTCTGGATAAAAGGGTAAAAGTAGGGCTTCTGGGTGACGTCACGGCCAGGACATTGGAGAGAGAGGGAGGGAAGGGGGGGGAGGCCTCCGCGGGAAGTCGGCAACGCTTCTTCCCAGGTGGAGTGGAGGGAGGACTCGGGAGTGTGTGTGGGAAGGAAGGAAGAGGGAGGGAGGGAAGGAAGGGGGGGAGGCCTCCGCGGGAAGTCGGCAACGCTTCTTCCCAGGTGGAGTGGAGGGAGGCCTCAGGAGTGTGTGTGGGAAGGAAGGAGGGGAGGGAGGGAAGGGGGGGAGGCCTCCGCGGGAAGTCGGCAACGCTTCTTCCCAGGTGGAGTGGAGGGAGGCCTCAGGAGTGTGTGTGGGAAGGAAGGAGGGAAGGAGGGAGGGAAGGGGGGGGAGGCCTCCGCGGGAAGTCGGCAACGCTTCTTCCCAGGTGGAGTGGAGGGAGGCCTCAGGAGTGTGTGTGGGAAGGAAGGAAGGAGGGAGGGAAGGAAGGGGGGAGGCCTCCGCGGGAAGTCGGCAACGCTTCTTCCCAGGTGGAGTGGAGGGAGGCCTCAGGAGTGTGTGTGGGAAGGAAGGAAGGAGGGAGGGAGGGAGGGAAGGGGGGGAGGCCTCCGCGGGAAGTCGGCAACGCTTCTTCCCAGGTGGAGTGGAGGGAGGCCTCAGGAGTGTGTGTGGGAAGGAAGGAAGGAGGAAGGGGGGGGAGGCCTCCGCGGGAAGTCGGCAACGCTTCTTCCCAGGTGGAGTGGAGGGAGGCCTCAGGAGTGTGTGTGGGAAGGAAGGAAGGAAGGAGGAGGGAGGGAGGAAGGGAAGGGGGGGAGGCCTCCGCGGGAAGTCGGCAACGCTTCTTCCCAGGTGGAGTGGAGGGAGGCCTCAGGAGTGTGTGTGGGAAGGAAGGAGGGAGGGAGGGAGGGAAAGGGGGGAGGCCTCCGCGGGAAGTCGGCAACGCTTCTTCCCAGGTGGAGTGGAGGGAGGCCTCAGGAGTGTGTGTGGGAAGGAAGGAAGGAGGGAGGGAGGGAAGGGGGGGAGGCCTCCGCGGGAAGTCGGCAACGCTTCTTCCCAGGTGGAGTGGAGGGAGGCCTCAGGAGTGTGTGTGGGAAGGAAGGAAGGAGGGAGGGAAGGGGGGGGAGGCCTCCGCGGGAAGTCGGCAACGCTTCTTCCCAGGTGGAGTGGAGGGAGGCCTCAGGAGTGTGTGTGGGAAGGAAGGAGGGAGGGAAGGGGGGGAGGCCTCCGCGGGAAGTCGGCAACGCTTCTTCCCAGGTGGAGTGGAGGGAGGCCTCAGGAGTGTGTGTGGGAAGGAAGGAAGGAAGGAGGGAGGGAGGGAGGGAAGGGGGGGAGGCCTCCGCGGGAAGTCGGCAACGCTTCTTCCCAGGTGGAGTGGAGGGAGGCTTCAGGAGTGTGTGTGGGAAGGAAGGAAGGAAGGAGAGAGGGAGGGGGGGGAGGCCTCCGCGGGAAGTCGGCAACGCTTCTTCCCAGGTGGAGTGGAGGGAGGCCTCCGCGGGAAGTCGGCAACGCTTCTTCCCAGGTGGAGTGGAGGGAGGCCTCAGGAGTGTGTGTGGGAAGGAAGGAAGGAAGGAGGGAGGGAGGGAAGGGGGGAGACTTCCGCGGGAAGTCGGCAACGCTTCTTCCCAGGTGGAGTGGAGGGAGGCCTCAGGAGTGTGTGTGGGAAGGGAGGAAGGAAGGAAGGAGGGAGGGAGGGAAGGGGGGGAGGCCTCCGCGGGAAGTCGGCAACGCTTCTTCCCAGGTGGAGTGGAGGGAGGCCTCAGGAGTGTGTGTGGGAAGGAAGGAAGGAGGGAAGGGGGGGGAGGCCTCCGCGGGAAGTCGGCAACGCTTCTTCCCAGGTGGAGTGGAGGGAGGCCTCAGGAGTGTGTGTGGGAAGGAAGGAAGGAGGGAGGGGAGGGAGGGGAGGGGGGGAGGCCTCCGCGGGAAGTCGGCAACGCTTCTTCCCAGGTGGAGGGGAGGGAGGCCTCAGGAGTGTGTGTGGGAAGGAAGGAAGGAAGGAAGGAGAGAGGGAGGAAGGGAAGGGGGGGAGGCCTCCGCGGGAAGTCGGCAACGCTTCTTCCCAGGTGGAGTGGAGGGAGGCCTCAGGAGTGTGTGTGGGAAGGAAGGAAGGAAGGAGGGAGGGAGGGAAGGGGGGGGAGGCCTTCGCGGGAAGTCGGCAACGCTTCTTCCCAGGTGGAGTGGAGGGAGGCCTCAGGAGTGTGTGTGGGAAGGAAGGAAGGAGGGAGGGAGGGAGGGAAGGGGGGGAAGTCGGCAACGCTTCTTCCCAGGTGGAGTGGAGGGAGGCCTCAGGAGTGTGTGTGGGAAGGAAGGAAGGAGGGAAGGGGGGGGGAGGCCTCCGCGGGAAGTCGGCAACGCTTCTTCCCAGGTGGAGTGGAGGGAGGCCTCAGGAGTGTGTGTGGGAAGGAAGGAAGGAAGGAGGGAGGGAGGGAGGGAAGGGGGGGAGACTTCCGCGGGAAGTCGGCAACGCTTCTTCCCAGGTGGAGTGGAGGGAGGCCTCAGGAGTGTGTGTGGGAAGGAAGGAGGGAGGAGGGAGGGAAGGGGGGGAGGCCTCCGCGGGAAGTCGGCAACGCTTCTTCCCAGGTGGAGTGGAGGGAGGCCTCAGGAGTGTGTGTGGGAAGGAAGGAAAGAAGGAGGGAGGGGGGGGAGGCCTCCGCGGGAAGTCGGCAACGCTTCTTCCCAGGTGGAGTGGAGGGCGGCCTCAGGAGTGTGTGTCGGAAGGAAGGAAGGAGGGAGGAAGGGAGGGAGGAAGGGAGGGAGGGAAGGGAGGGGAGGCCTCCGCGGGAAGTCGGCAACGCTTCTTCCCAGGTGGAGTGGAGGGAGGCCTCAGGAGTGTGTGTGGGAAGGAAGGAGGGAGGGAGGGAGGGGGGAGGCCTCCGCGGGAAGTCGGCAACGCTTCTTCCCAGGTGGAGTGGAGGGAGGCCTCAGGAGTGTGTGTGGGAAGGAAGGAAGGAGGGAGGGAAGGAAGGGGGGGAGGCCTCCGCGGGAAGTCGGCAATGCTTCTTCCCAGGTGGAGTGGAGGGAGGCCTCAGGAGTGTGTGTGGGAAGGAAGGAAGGAGGGAGGGAGGAGGGGGGGAGGCCTCCGCGGGAAGTCGGCAACGCTTCTTCCCAGGTGGAGTGGAGGGAGGCCTCAGGAGTGTGTGTGGGAAGGAAGGAGGGAAGGAAGGAAGGAGGGAAGGGGGGGGGGGCCTCCGCGGGAAGTCGGCAACGCTTCTTCCCAGGTGGAGTGGAGGGAGGCCTCAGGAGTGTGTGTGTGTGGGAAGGAAGGAAGGAGGGAGGGAGGGAGGGAGCGAAGGGGGGGAGGCCTCCGCGGGAAGTCGGCAACGCTTCTTCCCAGGTGGAGTGGAGGGAGGCCTCAGGAGTGTGTGTGGGAAGGAAGGAAGGAAGGAAGGAGGGAGGGAGGGAGGGAGGGAAGGGGGGGAGGCCTTCGCGGGAAGTCGGCAACGCTTCTTCCCAGGTGGAGTGGAGGGAGGCCTCAGGAGTGTGTGTCGGAAGGAAGGAAGGAAGGAAGGAGGGAGGAAGGAAGGAAGGAAGGAAAGAGGGAGGGAGGGAAGGGGGGGAGGCCTCCGCGGGAAGTCGGCAACGCTTCTTCCCAGGTGGAGTGGAGGGAGGCCTCAGGAGTGTGTGTGGGAAGGAAGGAAGGAAGGAGGGAAGGGGGGGGAGGCCTCCGCGGGAAGTCGGCAACGCTTCTTCCCAGGTGGAGTGGAGGGAGGCCTCAGGAGTGTGTGTGGGAAGGAAGGAGAGGGAGGAAGGGAAGGGGGGGAGGCCTCCGCGGGAAGTCGGCAACGCTTCTTCCCAGGTGGAGTGGAGGGAGGCCTCAGGAGTGTGTGTGGGAAGGAAGGAAGGAAGGAAGGAAGGAGGGAGGGAGCGAAGGGGAGGAGGCCTTCGCGGGAAGTCGGCAACGCTTCTTCCCAGGTGGAGTGGAGGGAGGCCTCAGGAGTGTGTGTGGGGAAGGAAGGAGGAAGGGAGGAAAGGGAGGAGGGGGGGAGGCCTCCGCGGGAAGTCGGCAACGCTTCTTCCCAGGTGGAGTGGAGGGAGGCCTCAGGAGTGTGTGTGGGAAGGAAGGAAGGAAGGAGGGAAGGGGGGGGGAGGCCTCCGCGGGAAGTCGGCAACGCTTCTTCCCAGGTGGAGTGGAGGGAGGCCTCAGGAGTGTGTGTGGGAAGGAAGGAAGGAAGGAGGGAAGGGGGGGGGAGGCCTCCGCGGGAAGTCGGCAACGCTTCTTCCCAGGTGGAGTGGAGGG